ATTTCTTTCTTCCTTTATATCGTTAGTATGAAAGACAGAAATGTCTATTCACGTCATTAGAAAATAATTGATGAGTACCTGCAAAGGGTTTCAATGAAGTAAATTTAATTTTTTCAGAAAATTTCATGGGACACAAAGTTACTCTGGCCAATTAAAAAAGTCATAGGCACAGGAAAACTGTTACCAAGCATTCATCTCCATCTTATTAATAAATACCTACTGAACTATTGGCACCACCAGTCTGATTTTCTTTCATAAACTACTGTTAATTACTTCAGAGAAAAGCATTAAAACACTGATTTAAAAAAATTTGTTATTTACCCAACAAACTTGTTATACCTGATACATAACACAATGTGTAAAATACCTTCCAACGATGGCATAAAAATAAATGGAGAAAGGCTATTTCTAGTAAATTTGTAAAGAATTTTTAAATTATCTTTTCCTAAACAGTAACTTTGCATTTGACTGGCTTCAGGGAAAATTAAATAATGCAGTTATTCAAGAGGGAATATGTACAAATTACACATTTTTAAATTTATCTTTGCATACCTGAAGATTGACAAAATCCAGTATGTGAAGACAGCACTAAATTTTCGGTCACAGGCTTAATTTTCTGCTCATCACTGCTGCCCTCTCCTAAGGAATTCTGAGCATCATCTCCTATATCAGAAGAAGATGAAGTAATGTCGGCTTGCTTCCTTTTAGTACTTGTTCTGAGGGAGTTTCTCATTTTCTCCTTGAGGTTGCCTGTCTTCTTTTTAGCTGAAGTTCTTTGCTTCTTCAGCTTTTTATTATCTTCAGAACTTTCCTCAGCATCTGAAGATGATGAGCCACTTCGTACTTCCTTGGTATTTCTCTTTGAATTTAAATTCCGTCTTTCCCTCAATTCTATTCTTTTCAGTCTCTTATCAGAAGAATCACGACCATCTTCTTTCATGGGATATTTCTCAGTATCAGATGATGAAAAATCTTGTCTCTTCCTTGAACTCTTTCCAGAAAAGTTGCACCTTTTCTTGTCTCTTCCAAATCCTGCATTCTTACTCCTTTTTTCTTCTGAAGAACCACAACTATCTCTTTTCCCAGTTAACTTCTCAGCACTATCAGATAATTCATCTTTATTTTTAGAAGTTTTACCTTTTATTTTTTTACTTTTCCTTTCCCCATCAGTTGTGCCATTCTTATTTTGTTTTATGCCTTCAGGAAAATGGCAAATTTCTGCTCCCTCAGGTAATTTCTCAGTGCTATCTGATGATGATTCATACTGTTGTTTCATCTTAGTTACTTTTTTCTTCAAGGCTGTAGTTTGATTTTCTTTTTCCTCAGTTCCGTTTTTGCTCTGCTTTTTATCATCTTCCGAGGAGTCATCACTGTGCTCTTTCTTTGGGAACTTCTGAGCAATATCAGATAAGCTACCCTGTACTTTCTTACAGGTTTTGGTTTTCAGATGCTTACTCTTTACTTTAGTTTCAGCAACCTTTTTGTCTTCTGGAGAACTACAACTCTCCTCTTTCCCAGAAGAAGGCTTATCAGTACCATCAGAGGAAACACCTGGCTGCTGCTTCTTAGAGAGTCTACCTCTTAATTCTAAGATAGTCTTGTCACTATCAACTGTGCCTTCTGCCGAAGAAAAATTGTCTTTCTCTTGTTTCCTTTCAGCATCATCAGATGATCCTTCTTGTGCAGCCTTCAAACTGTGCTGCCCTTGATTATTCATTCCTTTTTTGCTGTGTTTTTCATCTTCAGAAGAATCATAATCCTTTTTATTTGGAGCTCTTTTTTTAGATGTTCTAGCAGCCCCGATTTTACTCATGCTCTTTATCTCTTTTTCCAATTCTGAGTCGTAATTGGAAGATTCAGACTGGTTTTCTCGTTTCTTTTTAGAAATTATAGACCTTTTGGCTGATTTGCCTTTTTTTATATCAAAATCTGAGCCAGAAGTAGAACTTTTTCGTTTTCTTTTTCCTTTATCATCTTTCCCTGTTTGAGACTTTAAATCATATAAAGTCTTCTCACTATTTGTATGAGTTTCATTAATGTCAGTATCTGACGAAGAACTCTGACTCATTCTGGATACCTCTTTGAGGATTGCTAGCATTTCATCAGAATCTGAATTTCGATCCACAATCTCTGGCTGCTTAGATTTAGGCAATTTATTAGTTTTAGGATTATCTATAACAGTGTCGGAAGAATTCCGCTTATCTTTTTTTCTCATTGGACCTGACAGTTTTTGTTTCCTCTTAACTGTTTCATTACTTTCTTCATCTGAATTAGATGTTGCAGGGTTAGTTTCTGGCTGTCGCCTCAAGGGTGTAGTCTTTACACGCGGGGATCTTCGAAGATCAGATTCTTCTGAAGGTAATAAAACTTCACATTCAAGCAAAAGTGCATTATCATTTTTATCCTGTCCAAGTCCACAGTTCTCTGGCTTGGGGATCAGACCAGAATTTTTACAGCCATCTTTATCTTGTAGAACTTCCTGACAATCAGCACCTTTAATTGGGGAATTAGAAAGGGAGACAGGGGTAAGTTTTACATATAATTCTTTTGTTACTTTAGCTGTAGTTTTTGATTTAATACCTCCTCTGTTGTCTTTTGAAGTAATATTTAATTTTACAGAAGAACTCTCCAGTTCTTGCTCAGTGCCACTGTTGCCATCAATCTGATGATCAGCTGAACTCTGAACTTCCATAGCAGTCTCAAGATTTTCAAAAATGTCTTCTGGAACTGAGGAAGGAACAGACACAATATCCATGTCTAAGTCTTCAGAAGTGTTAGCAGGTTCATACTGAGGTTCTTCTTTTTTATCTGATTTCTCATGTTCAACACTGGTACTTTTATTTGCTCTTTGTTCCTCTACTGCAATACTCTGATCCATGTGCTCACTGTCTACCTGCTTTCTTGACAGCTTAGCTTCTGATTTTGAAATATCCTTCCTTTCCAAAGCACAGGGTTTTTCTCCTTTTCGTACTTTTGTTTCACACTTAGCGTCTATGACTTTAAGCTCTTTGGTATTTTTCTCTTTGTTTACAGCATCCAAACCTCGAATCTCTGAATTCAAATCTTCTTCTAATGCAAGATGAGCTTTCCTGATATCAGCCAACACAGATTTAAAAGCCTTAAGCTGACGTAACTTCGTAGCAGAATCAATTTCTGAATTATCTGTTGCATGCTTCAAAAACTTAACATAACTAGAGTTCATGTTGGCTGTTGTCTCAATCAGTTTTTTTGCCTTCTTAATCATCTCTTTGGGCACAATTAGTGCTGAATAAGAATAGGTTACAGAACCAGAACATGAATCGTCTAATTTCTTTTCTTCTCCATTACAATTTGAATTATTTTTCTTTGGAGAAAATCTGGGTGTATGGTCACATACTTTATTATTCTTTTCATTGTCAACTTTTATCTTCTTCTTATTTTGTTGCAACAACTGTTCTAAATTTTCAAATACGCTGTTACATGCAGTAACCAAGTCCAACAAAGGCTCCGGGTGACAAATGTAGCAATACCATTGGTTGTTTTCATCCATTATAGTAGATAGCTCCTTTCGGCCAAGGTTGCGCAGAATGCACTTCTTACAGAAGGCATTGTGGCAAAAATCACAACAAATCAAGTTTCCACCTTCTGCACACCATCTGAAATTATTTAAAGATTAAAATATTATTCCCAAATGAAACTCATTTTAAATCTTTTCATTATTAAAACAATTTAAATCAGTTTTTTTTGCCTTCTTAATCTGACAGCGATTTTAATAGTAAAGCAATTTAGGTCACATACTTATTCTTTATTATAAACTTAAAACAGACATAAACCAAAGGCTTTCTGGAAAAGAAAAATCTTCCGTTAAACATATCAATAATACTAAAAAAATGGATCTAATAACGGATTGTGCTAGAATTACCCCTTCCAAAAAAAGTAAACAATGTTGAATTTTAGTTAATCTTGATGTACTACCTACCTGCATTGTTCATCCATTCCATCTGAGTCACGGCTAATATCATCACTCATGTAATATTTAAAGCAATTCTATTCAAAGAAAGGGGAAGAGAAAATTTTATTCAAAATTGGTAACATCTAAAAAGAACAAAAACTTTATTTTTTAAGTTATTAATAAGTAAAAGGAATGTGTGTGTATGTTTGTGTGTTTTAGACAAAGAAAAAACACTAAATAACTCAACACTAGTCCTTTCCAGACATACTACTACTATCCAGACATAGGAACAGTTCAAAAAAATAATTCCTTGAAATAGATTTCCGAATCATCAAGCACACTATCCTTATCATAAAGTTTAGAAAAGGTTTACTAAAGCAAATTCCTGATCTCATATGACTAGCTACTAAAGCTCTACATAAAAATGTATTAGATGTTAAGAGACACATCGGCTGTTTCCATATCTTCGCTACCATGAATAATGTTAATGCTGCAATGAACATAGGGGGTATATATATCTTTGCAAATAAATGTAAAATTTTTCCCATAGATTCCAAGAAGAGGGGTTGCTGAGTCATGTAGTAACTAAATTCTTACTTTAAGGAATCTCAATACTGTTTTCCATAGTGGCTGTACCAGTTTATATTCCTACCAGCAGTGAATGAGGTTTCCCTTTTGTCCACAACTTCTCCAACACTTGTTATTATTAGTCTTGTTGATAATAGCCACGCTAAGACATGTGAGGTGGTATCTTATTACAGTTTTGACTTGCAATTCTGATTTTCAGTATTGATTTGTAGTCTTAAGAGATTGGATAAAAAATGTGTGGTACATATATACAATGGAATACTACTCAGCCATAAGAAAGGATGAATTACAGCCATTCGTAACAACATGGATGGACCTTGAGAATATTATGCTAAGAAAAATAAGTCAGACCAAAAAAAGTTAAGAACCACAATGTATAATAGTTATCACAGGGAATGTAAGTAGGAGTAGTAAAGGGTAAAAGACATCAAATAAATGGTAACAGAAAATCTGACTTTGGGTACTGGGCACATAATATAATATACAGATGCTGTATCATAGAACTGTACACTTGAAACCTATATAATTTTATTAGCCTATGTTACCACACTAAATTTAATAAAAAGATAGTAAAATTTATCAGGGAAAATATGTATTAGACGTTCTTGTTACTTAATAAATTTAATACTCACCATATATAAACTGCTAGTATGTGTACAGCTTAGCAACATTATCCTACATTAAAATACATTATCTTTAATTCTAAAAATACCTACCATGCAAGGTGAGAGGTATTACGCCCCATTTGAGAGTAAAACCTAAGGTTCGCTGATATGTGAATAAGTCTTCTACTCTCACCATTGATGTTTCTATCTCTCTCTCCTCCTCCTTTCCTCTCTCTGAAATCAATAAAGATTAAAAAAAAAAAAAAAAAAGCCCAGCCGGGTGTGGCTCAGTGGTTGAGCATC